CAATCTCAAGTAGATTTGCCATCAAGATCATCCTGCTGATGTAACACTTCCTCGGCAGTACAATGTCTCCCAATCTCAAGTAGATTTGCCATCAAGATCATCCTGCTGATGTAACACTTCCTCGGCAGTACAATGTCTCCCAATCTCAAGTAGATTTGCCTTCAAGATCATCCTGCTGGTCAACACTGTTCTTATCTGAACAGCATTGTTCAAGCTCTCAGAACAATAACCTCCTAGGGAAGACCGTCTGCTAAACAGTGAAGGAGCATCAAAATCCAGCTGATATATTTGTGTGGCATTTCAGAAGTTGGGAAGTACAATAGTGACAAATTCTATGGCCAACAATTTCTTTTATATTTTTCATACAGATTGTACCATTGCGACACAGCTGCTACACTGTGGAACCATCACAGCATCAGTCTCAAACCGATTTCCTCCAAATATAAAACACATCTATTCAGCAAAACCTAAAACATTGCACTATTTCCACAAGAACTGTATTGTTGAAACACAAGCGCCAGAAATATAAATGACATCGGATGCCACTATGCACAAGGACACCATTACTACTCAGAGTGCCTGAAGCCCATCACTTCATGACACTCATCACCTAGCTGAAGGTAAGGCTTACTTCGTCTTTCACAGTCGCCTTGATTACAATTACATTAACAGTAATACTGTTTACAGAGACATTGTTAATCACCTCAGAGGCCCAGATAAGCTGCGTATCCGGGTAAAATATGCATAGAAAATTTCCAAATTACGCATTGAAAAATAATTGTTGTGTACCAATTACGCATTTAAAATGTTAGATACACAAAAAGTTTAAAACAAATGCGTACAGAATATATTTATAAAAATCGCTTGCGTAATGAAAAAGACATCGATTGCTATCATGTTGTACTGTTAGTATAGGACAAGTGTTGTACTGTCAGTATAGGATGAGTGATTTTTTATGAAATCATTTCCATTATATTTAAGTTGGTTTTGATTAGGTATGACATAAGGCAGAACATATCTCCTTAGTAAACTTACTCAGTCACATAATACTTAGGTGAGTAAAATGACTGAAATATGCACATATTTGAAAGCGGTGGGTAACGGAAAATGAAATACCCACTCAACATTCATAATACCCACTCCACAAAAATACAGTGGGTACAGTACCCACATGAGCTAAATCTTATCTGGAGCTCTGCACCTCTTACGACAAAATTGTAGGTTGCTGAAGACCAGTTCTAACCCAGACCTTCACGGGAATTATATCTTATGAAGATAATTTAGGGTCTGTATATTCCACAGAGTATGCTCATTTCAGAGACTAGATGTTAGTTCGGTAGTTACCTAATACATAGAATTCTAGTTAGTGTTTTTTCTTTAGTTGAACTGTGTTACGAGTTGATTCCCAAGTAAAACCCAAACAGTGAATGAGTCTGTAAAAAGAACTAGGTGTGGCACCAAGACACAACAAAGAAATATAATGTAATTAACAATTGTATTCTAAAATTAACTAAGTTCACAAATCAATACAAAGGTGTCACAAAATAAAATGGCAGTACAAATTCAGAGTCAGTATAATACTAGGGCAGTGATTATAGCAATCACAGGGGTTTGTAACACACCAAAACTGCCATCAAGGTATATACTGTCACTGACAGGGTCTTAGTACTATATAAAAGGAAAGGGATGTAACAAGGTCAACACACCAGGTTCGTTTCAGGGCGAATTCAACAATACTCACTGTATTTATCCCATTTAAAGTTGCACACATTTCAAGCCAATAGATTTACCTACAAAATGAGACATACAGCACAAAAATCGATGCAGTACTTTGGGAGCTAGGGTCTTCGGAAGCTCGAAAATTGTGATTTCTCGATTCCAAGCCAAAATCCCTGCTCAGAATTTGTAGCGGTAACTCACCCATTTCCTTGTTTTTTAAGTAATCTAACAATAATTACAAAACATATGCATTGGAATAAAAACTGGCATTTATTCTTTCAGGGGCTGCGAGAACATGCAACAGGAAATCAGTAGGCCAACATGCGGTGGCTCACAAAAAGGAGATAGTCAAATTCCCCCACACACACTAGTAAAGTCTAACACGTGAAATATCACATAATGCTACTTAGATATAAATATGAACATGTAAGTATGCCTACTGCATAGTGACCCTTAAGTATTTTGTACACGCCACGCCAATAATACTACTGGGAGGGTGGGAGGGATTTTTGTCAAGTGCAAAGCAGTGCATGCCTGCACGCCTTGTCGCCTAAGCGTAGGCGATTGCAGCGCCGTTTCAAGGGAGCTAACTCTGTTCTACTGTAGATGTTACGTACAAGGTGAAAAATGTGGTCAAAGGGAGGTAACTCTCATCCTAACCCAAAATACATGTTATGACATAAAATAACACTTTAAGTAATCTAACAATAATTAAAAAAACATATGCATTGGAATAAATACTGGAATTTATTCTTCCAGGCTGAGAGAACATGCAACAGGAAATCAGTAGGCCAACATGCGGTGGCTCACAAAAAGGAGATAGTCAAATTCCCCCAGCCCAAAGAGAATAAAAATGGATATTATGTATAAAAGATAAAGATTTCAAAAAAATAATTTTTGACTCAATATGGAAAAAAGGGAAACTGTTCATGTGCAGAAAATATGGCTGCACAGCCTATAACAGTCCAAACCAACAAACATGGAAGTGTTAACTTATAGTGCATGTACTCCAGACTATCTGGAAAGACTACAAGATCCATATACAGTACAACCAGAAATTATGGAGAATTTAAAGATTGTAAATTTGTTATTTTTTTCACACATTATTCACGTATTAAATGTGAATATTAGCAGAACATAACTCCAGATTCAAAGTTAGTATTTTGTCAAGTCACCATGGGCAGCAATGCAGGCTTCAATGCGGCGGGGCATACTACTGATCAAAGAAGTTAGAAAGTCCATGCTCTCCCAATATCGGACCACCTCTTCTTTCATTTCAGCAATATTTGTCAGATTTTTCTTATTGACACTTTCCTTCATAAGTCCCAAAACATTTTCTATTGGATTTAGGTCAGGGCTATAGCTTTGCCAATCTAATAATGTCATATTTTGGGTCCGAAACCAGGCCTGTGAATGCTTTGAACGATGTTTTGGGTCGTTGTCCTGCTGGAAAATCCAAACATTTCCATAGAACATGTGAGCAGATGGAAGTAAATGTCCCTCGAGAATATCTGTGTACCTCTCACTATTCATATTCCCTTCAAATACACAGAGGGGCGTTTCCCCTAACACATATATGCCACCCCACACGTTAAATTTCGGACTGTACTTTGGGCGCTGATGCAAAGGTTTTTCAGTTTGTTTGGTCCAGAATTTCAGTGTATTAGGAAACAGCCACACAGAACTTTCATCTGAGAAAATCACATTGTCCCAGTTAAAATTTCTATGCTGTAAGCACCAGTTCAACCTTCGCTTCTTTTGTTCAGGTTTCATGATCGGTGATGGAATTCCTCGACTTTTCTGCCAACCCATTGCATGCAGCTCAATTTTAATTGTCTCCTTACAGACAGCCACAGTTCCTCTATCAATCATATCCAGCCTTAAGTTTTCTAAACTCATTCGTTTGGTTTTAGAAACAAGAATACCAAGCCGCCTCCTGTCACCGACAGTCAATTTTCAGGGCCTACCTGCGCCTCCCTGGTGCTCAATGCCATATCAATTTGCAATATTTTTCAAAACATGATAAACAGTGGACAGAGGGATGCCTGTTCTACTTGAAATCACTTTAGCTGATCTGATGTCCTTGTTATAATACTCTAAAATCAACTTCCTCTTCTCTAAATCATCCATACTGAGGATCACTGAAAATGTCGTCTGCTAGCAAGTAAACAAAGGGGGATAACTCTTCACAAACTAATAAAAAAGGATTAACGGAGTTGTCTCTCTTGAATGAAACCAAGCTCTTGATAGCTGGTCAAGGTTGTTTATACTAGAAATCCAATTAAACATATTCCTAAAATTCTCAATAATTTCTGGTCATACTAATATACAGCAATCTAATGTTACACAATCAATACTCAATTTTCAACTACCATAAACCTCCTTCACCAATGTGCAGACAAGGATCTTCCAAACTGATTCATAGCATCAAGTTTTTGTTTTGCGCTAATGTCCAGGTAACGCAAGTAGGCGTTACTCTTCCAAAACCCTAAATCCTGTACAATCTTTCCTGCTAGACCCGACTGGAAACCCCAAGTAGCCCCTCCTCGTCTAAACAAGTGGCCAGTAATGTTCTCCTTCACACCATGAGACTTCATAATATATTGTGCTGTATCAATGAATGTCCTGTGCGTTCCCCTGATTGTCACACAACAGCGACTGTGAACTGTCATCCAGGCCGGGATGTATGCGAAGTAGTCCGTAAATTGCCGCAACCGGATCTAAAGGGTGGTCCGGAAATTTTGGTAGGTATCTTCCCATGTACAGTGGACTCTGTATAATCCAATGACTCCATGCTTGAATACTTTTCAAACAGTACCATACATTGTAACTGCCTTATACAATGTATCATCAAAAAATATGTCGGAATTCACAGATTGTCGGATAATTCAGATGTCGGATTATACAGAGTCCACTGTACCTGTTTCCAGTTCTGGTGCCATTATGCACTTTCTTGCCAGTGCCAACCTTAACAATTGCACCATAAATTACAACATGCAGCACTGCAAACTTCGACTGGAACTCTAACATTGTTGAGCAGTGAAGAAAATGGCAGCTGGTATGACGTTTCCATGTTTGTAAAAAGTGGGTCAGTGCCCTCCGTTGTTTGCTGTAAGCAGTAAATGCTTCAAAACCGATACTATCGTTTGTTTTTATTTTATCAAAAATTCTATCCATTTTAGTTATAATAACGGTAACACAATTTTTCAGGGCATTATCATTTGCAGAAGCCCGAGGTATTTCATTAACTGCCTGAGGAAGTAGTAAATTATAGTAATTACCTCAGGTTGAGAGAAGTGGTCCTCCGCAAGGCCAAGGTCAGCGTATGTGATGTCGTCAGTGTCGGACGTCCCTGACATCATCCCCCCTCCGATGTCCGTCCATGTGTCACTCCCTCCCGACCCTGTCACAAACACATGACATTCAATAACACAGAACAAGAGTCACGCTGTAAAACAATCCAGCAGAATTTTTAAGAACACTGCTCTGGGGTACAGTAGATGTTTTATGTGTGACAGAAGAATCTGTTTTCAGAGAACATCACGCAGCAAGTGTGATATAGTACATGTGAAGTTCTTTCTTATCATTCGTCATCTAAGTCCACACTCCGGCGCAGTGATGACTTAGCATAACATCACTGCCACAGGCTAATTTGCATATCACGTGACCAGACTTTTCTCTTGTTTGTAAACAAACTAGAGTATTCGTAAATAAGAAGAGACTGGCCTAATGCAAGCTTTTCGGCGTGCTCTTCATAATGTTTTACATTGTTACATAAATATTCTTCTACAACTGCGACAGTAAGGTTTATGACAGTACATATTTATATATCAAACAGGCTGCATCGTTTGCTCTCTGTCAGCTTTGATGACAGCACGTGGAGCTGTACAAGTTACTACAACCTATGTGAAAAAGGATCGATACGCAAATTGAAATAGTATTACACGTTTTAAGATATTGTTTTCAGTGAAACTAAACCATTCTATCAAAGACGTTTGATTAGATGTGTAGACTCGTCAAAAATAAAAGGGTTAAGATATATGTACATTATATTGATTTGACTGTGTAAGATGTGACTAATTGTCACATCTTTCTTGCCTGTGGCAGAGGTACTATGCTGGTCGCATGGAACTCTGGGTAGGAGAGTGATCTAAGTCCAAAACAAGTAAAATTCAGGAAGGGAAAGAATTTTTCTATTATACAGATGGCGACTGCAGACTTCTAAACTTCAAAAAGTGATAACCACATATTTCTTATTGTTATTTTCAAGGATGTATGTCACGCTGGTAGAGTCAATGTTTGCACGGCCTAGCCTGAACGGTGTGGCATAACATTTGGACATTTCAAACTTCTAGTTTGAGGAAAAACTATATTATTATTATTATTATTATTATGATCATGATGATTATAAATTGTAATGTGATTACAGGTCAGCCAGATGACATCATTTGGGCATTTAAAGATGTTGATTATGCTGCAAAACAATATGAGCAAATACCAGTTATCATGATTATTGATAAAGAAAAAAGTACTCACATTTTAGATAAACATACGTGAATTTCATAAAAGTCGTTTGAGTTGTTCCCGAACCTTACCTTTCCTCCACTGGAAGCAACCTACCCTCGTATAACTATGACACAGACCGCCTCCGTGGTGTAGTGGTTAGAGTGTCTGCCCGGAGAGCGGAAGGTCGCAGGTTCGATCCCCGACCGCGTCATACCCAAAAGACGTTAAAATATGGTACTTGTTGGTCCCTGCCTGGCGCTCGGCATTAATGGGTACAACAAGGACTGGTCAGCTCAGAGTCAGTATAATGTGTCTGAGTGGGGTATTCATGCTTCACTGCGGCATGGTATCTCAGTGGGGTAGCACTATAAAACCAGCTTCAGTCTGGGCTAGTACAAGCAGCCGCACATACACATACACACGCATGCACGTCGTTATATGAGCGAAATATTCTCAAGCACGACGTTAAACCCAATTTCACCTCACCTCACCTCACTATGACACATATATGTGAAACATTGCTAAAGTCATCTTAATACAGTACTTATAATATGACAAGTTTTATATCCAAAGACAGTTGTGCTTTACACATCAGATTCAGAAGCAGTGCATATAATTATAAATAGAACATATTTCATCCCTCATTACATCACACATACATCATATGGCATAGCAAATTAAATATTCACCATTTTGGGCACCATTAAGTACATACCAGACTTGTTGCTGTCTGATGATTGTGTTCCTTGTCTTTGAAAATAGTTTGGTGCCGAATCGGAAAAGTGATCATCGTCCATATGAATGTCTTTATTAAAAGGATTAAACCTCTCACGGGGAAATGAACTGTCTTTTTGAGGAGAGCTATTAGTACTAGATTCAGATGTTCTGGCCTGATTTTCACGAGGATGTCTTTTCACAGTATCACCTTCAGATGACCTTGCACTTGACCTTGACCCAAATCGTCCATGAACGCTAACAAAATCAGGTAAACCTTCACTGAAAGCGGCACTACGTCTCCGATAAACTGTGGAGCTTGGAATATCCAGGGATTGTAAGTTATCATCACGATTAGTTCTGTTATGTCCTGAGGTCAAGGTCACATTTCTTATTGGGCTATCAGCGTCAATATGGTTTATTTGTTCCTCTTCTTCAGAATCTGATTCAAATCCAGAAAATTTGGTTATTCTACCTCCACTTATTTTTACTGTGGCTGTGGAAGATTCGGACGCGTGAATAATTCCTCTCTTTTCACGGTCTTTTGATTCAGAAGTCATTGTGACACTGGTAGGTGGCAATCAATTGATCATTTAATTCATGGTCATTTCAAAGCAATCCTTTCACTTCCACTGCACTGAACAGATGAGCGATGGACATATCCTGAAAATAAAAATAAAATAGAAATATTACTTGTAGATATCTATTTATTATCAGTATACATATATATTGATCATGCTGCAAAACAAAGTTAAAAGACTTTCACACAATATCCTTGTATCTCTTCTGTTTTGCAAAATCAGGTCAAAGTGAACAACATCATAAGTCAATAAAATAGAAGCCAATTCTTAGTAAAACCATCTCCTTGTAATGTATACATCAAATATTTACGAATTTGTCCACCCCTTTCCTTGTAGTTTCTATTAGACATTGAGTTGCACACCAAATAATTATTAGATTTTACACTTTGTTAGTTTTCTTTATAGAAAATGTTCAAGACATCATTTATTTACTGCTGATATATGTGATTCACACAAAGCATCAGTCTCTTGCTGGAGTATACATATAGCACATTTTGCCAGGTGAGTGAGTATGGTTTCATGCCGCTTTTAGCAATATTCCAGCAATATCAAGGCCTGGACAGTAAACTGACATGGAAAACAAATGATTACTTGAAACTGACATTATGGACTCATCCAGTGATATGTATTTCAAAGCCATTGTTGACCAATACATTACGTCAGACAGTGGGCCATATTATCCTGACTGTAGCTGATTAACTGCAGTGTTTCATCTTGACCTTCAAACCTAACATTTCCTCGTAGGAAGTCTGAAGGTACTGGCAAGTAAGGATACAGTGAAGTGTACAATCAGATATAATTATCATTAAGATCAAAGGACCTGTACACGCACATTCTGTATTTTGTCAAAGATTTGTCAATGATTATTTTTTGCATGCAATTTATGATTTCTCTGTCTATTCTATATGTATCTATGCATCATGTACAACTCAGTAATTTTCAATAGTTAGTGAATGTCAGTGATAATTTAGAAAAACCTTGATCAACCCAATAACTGACCCACACAAGCATGTTGAATATTGTGGGCAACAGTCTTTCCTAGAGTACGAATTACACATTTGTGTCCCTTTGTTTTTGTACTCCATATTTCAACAGCCAATGTGACCACACAATCTACACTTGTGGTGACTCTTCTACTAACTAAGGGTATTGTAAGGTAGTGGTATAAACCCCAACATCTGATCTGCATCAAAGGGTGAACAGCCGTACAAACTTCGATCCAGTGACAACCTTTTTCACTAGCTCACAGAGTTTGTAGCTTATCCTGCTTGAACAAGACAAAAGTGTTTCTGTCAGTTCTATTCAGTTCATTTATGAGCATTGAGTTGTGTTTTAGAATTTTAGCACTCAAATGCTCCCAGTCAAGTAGATCAACCATCAACTTATATTCACTTGTCCTCACAATCTTGGTCTTGTGGACCAGTGACTTTAATAGACTGGTGTCAAGGTCTGAGATAATGCACTTCATACAACATAAAGGTTGAAGTATAAATACATTAGATCAACAACAGACACTGACTTTGTGCAATAATGCATTCTGTAAGTACAGATGTGATATTTCTTCAAAAATATCTTGCAACTTGATCTTATCAACAACTGCACAGCCAGTGGAATACAATTCTGAAACTATTGCACTGCAGCAGTGGATGACTAAGTATGTCTAAAATTCTGTTTCCTACGTTAAGAATAAACATGTTATAAGTATATACTCAAAGACGTCCCTTAACAGATATCACTAAGGTCATCTCTGCTTTAGTGAGTGAGTGAGTTCAGTTTTACGCCGCACTCAGCAATATTCCAGCTATATGGCGGCAGTCTGTAAATAATCGAGTCTGGACCAGACAATCCAGTGATCAACAGCAGGAGCATCGATCTGCGTAATTGGGAACCAATGACATGTGTCAACCAAGTCAGCGAGCCTGACCACCCGATCCCGTTAGTCACCTCCTACAACAAGCATAGTCACCTTTTGTGGCAAGCATGGGTTGCTGAAGACCTATTCTACCCCAGATCTCCACGGTTCCATCTCTGCTTTATAACAACGGAGACAATGTGGTAGCCTAGTGGTTAAAGCGTTAGCTCATCACACTGAAGACCCAAGTTCAATTCCCCACATGCATGGTACACTGTGCGAAGCCCATTTCTGGTGTCCCCCGCTAAAAGCTGCTTAAAACCATACTTACTCACTGCATATTTCGGATAGAAACAACTGACCAAATAATTACATGAGTTAGTTTACTGACAGAGCAGCATGTTGTGAATACAATTTATTTCATTTTCAACATTTCAGATTTGTTACCATCTGATCAGCGCTTTGAAATGAAACTATCATGGTCACGTGAAATAACATGTGTTCATATAGACGATTGGTATCAGTGACACACTGTCAGAGAAATGCCATCACGATAACTACACCAGAGTGACAACTCTGTGAAAAAACACGAAATAAGGTCAGCATGTAAATGTGTTAATGGAATTGCGTAATGAACGATATAAACTGAGAAGCTAGGTGAATCAACTCTGATACATTCCTAAAGGAATAAACATACTGGCCATATAATCATGTCGTTATATTGTTTAGGCAACAAAGGAACTGACTGGAGAGAGGAACGAACAACCCACTGACTCGAGCGCAAAGTGTAGGTCACTGATTAACGCAAATGCTGTACCAACAGAACTTTTGTGCTGATGTCCGTCTGTTGAGCTTTCATTAAATTCTTCTTTGGCTATTTACCTCGAAACTGGTTTCCAGTTATATCTATATGGGTATGTTGCCCTGATTAGGAATGTAACGCCTGATACAGCTTAGACTAACCTTCTTCTGGACCAAAACAAACTCGTGACGAAAATACAATGACCTGAACCGGAAGTACTTGTTTCATCACATTCCGTTCATAAACACTAAACCGGTTTCAGAACACACCTTCGATTGGCGTGAGGCCCTGTATGAAGGAGGATGTATTTCTATTCGTAGTCAATACAGTACAACACGACATACCTCTTTTAACACACACCATTTACATCTCAGACGAAGATAAACAAGAACGACATTTTAAAAGCTAATTCATATCAAAATTGCAACAAGTCCGTTTGTATCTGTGAATAATGGTACGCGAGGAGACGTAAGTTAGAATTAAGGCGGATAAAGTGATGGAAAGTTTTAGGAATACGAGCTGTGACATGTCTTCTCTGATCCTATTTTTAATGTCACGTACATCTAATACGTTACACACACACCCACCAGGTAAAGTGTATCACATATACCACACTCTGCAGGTAGGGCAGGTCTTGTGTGTAGGTCATCACACCCTTTAATCAGTATAAGCAGAGACCATATAATAGATTATATGGTCTCTGGTATAAGAGACAACATGCCGATCGCTGCATGGTCTGTGTCAGTATGTATATACAGACAGACAGACTGATATAACGTGGTATCCTGCTAGATTTATCACAAAAGTGAATATTTGAGTAGGGACTATCTGCGTATAGTTTTAGGTTAAAACTGATTTTAACAGTACGTAAAGAGTTGCCTCCCTTTGACCAACCCATGACTTAGGCGTTTGCCTGTGATGTGAAGTGTTATCTTCCTTGGTGTTAGATGGCGTTACGTAACATCGCGCTTACTGAGAGCATGCCGACCGCTGTCGCACTCAAGGTTTTACCCTCCTCTCCCTCCCAGTAGCTTTACTGGTTTGTGGAGCCACGCAATGTATCACGCAATTCCTTGTCAAGCCGTCAGTTTCAATATGCAAACTGCATACTTAAATGTACTGTGTGGGACTTCTTTGAGTGGCATTTTAGAAGTTGGGAAGTACAATATAGAACAAACTTTATGGATAACAACTTCTTTTTATTCGTGAGTGCGACGTTTCGATACAGATTCTTGTACCGTTGTCAAGCATAATGGAACATGAACGAACGAAATTTGGATCGGCTTTTAGCTTAGCCAATGTCGCCGACATGGAACATGAAGAAGGGGGAAGTATATATATACTGGATGTAACAATGTAACAAAGAAAACAACATAATTAACATAATTGGCTAGGCAGAAAGCTGATGAAGCCAGAGAGTAGACAAAGGACAGGCGTGGAAGCCAATGATGTACAAATAATAATGAGATGTTTATACAGCAGAGTTTATACAGTAGATTGGGCTTGGTGGGTGAGTGCATCATAAGCGGATGGAATGAAGGGTTGTATCCCATAACCCCTACATTTCTTGAAGTGAAGTTTCCAAAATGCAACAGAGAGTATTGGATGCAATCGTTTACATCGATTGTAGTGTTTACCTCCTAAGAAACCATTCAAGGATCCACATGCAAGAACACCAGTTTCTGTCAGTATATGGGGTCCACCTGATCCATCCAAAATATAGAACAGGCCTTCCAACTTCACAAATGCATTGAACTCTGCGTGTTTCAAGCCATCCTTCTTGAGATTTTTGGCCGATGAATGGAGAAGTGACACATATAGTCGCATTTTAGGCACCACAACTCTCTACTTTTCTGTTGAAGATACATGTTATGTGTTTACCGCTAACCAGGGAATTGTGGTGAGGACTGGTGAGGTACCTTCACATGTTGCTTCAGGATGTGAACAATTTGTATGTGCGTTGTATACAAAACCAAGCCTGTCCAGTGTCGATAAGGTGCGCTATAGTTTGTTCAAACAAAGATACGCTCCAGCACCAGGCCGTGATCCTTTATACAAAATCCAAGGAACAGATACTGCTGTATTTCCTCCTTGTCAAGTATCGTTAGTTTAAAAAATCAAAAGAACCAATTATGTTTCAAGTATGCGGAAGAATGTTCATCTCCGTGTCGTCATATGAGCGAAATATTCTCAAGCACGACGATAAACCCAATTTCACCTCACCTCACCTCACCTCATCTCTGTGATCCATTGAAGTTCAAACCAGAAGGAAATGGACGGAAGTTGGAGGATGGAACTTTTCAACTTGTATGGTACGAAGGACCACAGGTACCTACATGTGTCACAAAACAAATGAGTAGCACATTTCCAGACCCTGAAGAATCAGATGAGGGTGAGGCTGGAGAAGATGACAGTGACTCTGCTACTGACGATGAGTATGATCCGTGATGAGGTAGCCCTTGCATTTTGACAGAAATACCAAAATCTCAATGTGAGTTGTCAGAATTAGCTTAATAATTTTAAAACTATTACATGTGTGTGTGCGCACGTGTGTGCGTGCATGCATGCATGTTTTACTGGCCTGATGACCTGTTTTGTATCATGAATAAATGTTGGTGATTAATTACTCTTTACATATATGTCCAACTACATGTATATAGACTAAAAAGCAAGTTATATCTCTTTCTGAAAACCACATTTTACAGAGTTATCTCCCCTTGAGTGACCCTTACTGTCTTTATCTTAGATAAAACACTAACCCTGAGTGACATATGCATTTTGTTGATATATTTGAATTCCTACATGTTTTACATAATTAAAAGCCTTAAATACTGTATTATATTATACTTTAGTTTCATTACACTGAACTTCAGGTGGTAAAATGACAAAAAACTGTAAACCTACGAAGTCATTACTCTACATACCACACTGTTAAACATATTATTTTGTGAAATTACACATTTATCTTTCTTCTTTACATTGCAACCAGTTTGGGTGAAATACTGAGTATTTGTAGTTGGGAAATGGCAATTAAAAGGATGCAGCAGTTTACCTGAAAAAAAATGCTGAGTCATCGCTTCAACGCCCCCTAGTGGGCTAAAGCCACAGCTTTGACTTGTAAGACTGAAATTTTTGGATTCGTGAGGCAATTTTACATCAGAATACATGTTCAAACCTTTTGGCCTCTCTCGGTACAAAAATCAACCCCGGGCTCTTGGACTATCAGATTGTGCTTTTGAAACTTTAAAACATCCTAAAATGTGTGACAAATTTAAGAATATCTAATCGCGAATGCAACCATATCCACCACATTGTTCTTTAATGTAACAAGTTTTGCTATTTCGGTCGACCCTAACCGAAATCAGCTCGCTGTCAGATTTGTCATTTCAGGTTTATGGTGTACCAACTCAATGCCCAGTAGTGACTAAAAACGTGAAGCAAAACCAATTTTGTAGTTACAAGAATTGTCCGTGTTTATAACACTTGCAAAATCCTAAACTGCTATTTGTTGTCATCTATTGGTAATGCTTTTGCACATGTGCGAAAGTGTGTAAATTCGTGTAAATTCTCACCTTCGAGCAGACGTAGGTTTCGTGAACGACGGTGCCGACATTTAACTGCTCGTTAGGCCTATCGCATTCCTTGATCCGCCTCAAATTTTTTTGTCTTGATCGTAATGGTTTTGTTAAAGGTACACATCAAATCACAGCAATATGTAATAGATATAGCGAGTGTAAATGGCATAATTCGAAGCACATCGCTTCGGAGGCATCGTTTGACCCCGGAAATAAGTCTGACAAATCCACACAGCGCGCCCGGCCTGCTGATTGGCCCAAATTGACGCATGCGCCAGTTTTGATTGACAGACTGGATCGGTCTATTCACCTCCGTCACAGATATTAGCAGGGGAAGGGTAACTGAAATTTTGTTTGAGTTTATAATTTTATAAAACTCGTGAACACAACCACATGTTCATGTTGCAGATCGTTTTGGTATCTATAAATAGATTATCAACACTGCGCGTGGCGCCGTTACTTATCTGTTGGCGTTGTTCAAATTTAGTTCAATAATCTGAAAACATGGGTTTCTATCTTTTTAATGAATTATTCTTCCTCGGAAGTGAGGTTGTGGTCGAAGTAACAATAATATTGTTAGTAGTATTATGATTGACTCCACCTCGCTGCCACGAGAAATTGTTATGATATACTGTTATGTCATGCAAATCCTATTATTATCATCAAAATAGCATAAAAAGCAGAAAATATTTGATTTAATATCCTCGGGTGAAAACAAACCTAAATACCATTTGCATCCTCAGACTGGCGGATGTTCCCGACAGGGCGCCGCCATTTTAAAAATAAAAAATCTGTTAGAATTAATGAGATTATAGTTTGTTTTCATCAAGTTAGAAAATCAAGACTACTTTCTACTCGTAGTTAAATATGTATTGGAATCATAACCAAAACGGATTTTGCATGACACAACTTATAACATAACGATTTCTTCCACGGAAGCGAGGTGGGGGTCGAAGTCACAATACTGGTGCCCGTGTACTACTTCATGCACCTTATTTGTCTGTATATAATTAGTTTATTATCACACTTGTATGCATTTTGAAACTAAATAAAAAAGCAGACGATCTGCTGATACTTATAGTGAATTTATAACAGAACTGTAATATCTAGACATTTTATAGTTTGCCAATGTGAATCATAATTCGCACACACACCTCTAGTGCATGTTGTCTGTCTCATTACACTTCACGGCGAAAACAATGATTCTGTTGAATGCTACGACAAATGAATAAAACAAAATGCAAATATTAAAATTAAAACAGATTAAAGTTATAGGAACAATATCAGGCCATTACCTTGTTCGAGGAATGTATCCATCAATATCCACAAAAAACTGTTCCAAATGATGTGTCTTTTAACAGTTTAATATACGAAAAAGTGATAAATCTTTTCAGGTATTGGTGTATAGTCTCATTGGTCACCCAAGATAGCACACCTGGCAACCAATTGCATAATTTCCGCCTTTCTTTAAAAACAGTAATTTAGTTAGCCAATAATGGGCAATCAATCAATGTATTGGCGGTTAATCCTTTGAAAGAAGGACGTTGTTTTTACGCAGACACCGACACGACAGAGTGTATTCAGTATAGATTAGTAAATCTACATACATAAACACTACCTTTTG